TCTCCCCAGAGCTTGTCAGTCTGTTTACTCTCTGGGCATAAAACTTTTACTGGACACTCAAGCTTGCACAAGCATCTCCTCTTACAGGGATGGAAGGGGGCTGTCTGGGGGTGCAGGTGTGTGTCAATCTGCTGTCTCCTCTTCACACGAGGGCCTTGCCAGTTTCAGCAGCCAGAGCCAGGTCCACGCAGATGTGTGAAAAAGTGATTATGGTGTGGGCAGACAGATCTTTAAGTTAGGTAGCACATGCAATGGTAGGCACTTGCTGGAGGCAGCAAGAAGACATCAGTGCTCAGAGTGAATATTAATCCCAGGGTCTCTGGGGGTGCTGGTCCAGTTTTCAGCTGCAGTCTGTCATAAATTGCTGTCGACACAAGTGCAACTTAGGTAAGATCTAGTACCTGTGCCACAATTGAGCCTTCAGTCTCTTCTGTAAACGTACCTTGGAAGACTTTGGTGACAGAACAGTCTTTGTGCATTAAACTTGGAATGTGCCCCAGTGCATGCCAGGGGCAGACCTAGCAGGATTATGGTAGCTGGCTACTGGTGTCTGCAGCTATCACTGCCAGACTTATAAATGGAACAGAAATTTAAACAAGGCTTTTTTTTTTCTTTTTTTTTTTTTCGCTTCAGTCAGCTGGAACCTGAACTGGGCTACATCCTGTCTGGCTCCATCTGCCTGTTTCTAGTATTAGGATGGATGAAAAATACAAGTAAGGACCCTGCTAAAGTGTTCCCAGCACAGTCTGGCTGAGACACTTCCCTTTTAAAAGCGACACAGGCTGCGGAGACTTTTGTTTCGATTCACTTGGGAATGCACATGCTGGATAGGAAGGAAAGCTATTGCTCTGAACAGGGGAAGAGCCCAAGGTGTCTGTCGCCTGACAGTACAATCATAGGACAAGTTTGGTGTTCAACTGATGTATGTGATTAATCAGATGAGTTAAGAAAGGTGTGAACTGGCTTCCCCCCCTCAGGTGGAGTGCTTTTGGGAGTAACAGTCAAGGAACATGCTACACCTGAAAAATAGTTCTTGTGGGACATTGGACAACTGGGGTAGGAGAAATTCTGTTTGGAGAAAGGAACCAGAAAAAGGCTCTTAGCCACACATGGAAGCACCAGTGATGGGGGTTCTTCTTCTAGGCCAGCTTATGGACCTGTGCTGTCAGCCCTACTCACCACTTTCTTCAGGAGAATGCAGAAAGAAGACAAGCTTTATTTTGGAGTACCTTTAATGGACTGCCAGCAAAAGCTAGAAATGACAACCTTATCTGGACACATAAAGGACAGTTTTTTATGTTGTAGCTTCTGCATTGCTTTATGCAGCTCTGATTTAGCAGGAGAGGGAATGATCTATATACATAACCAAAGAAAACTTGCTCCTAACTCCCTCTAATCTCAAATCCCAAGTTTTTAAATAAAAATAAGCCTTTTGCCTTATTTCTGGTGGACAGAGTCCTGAAACTCTCAGAATTTTATGTATTTTTATGACTCCAGTACTGTTTTAAAACCAAAGAGAGTGGCATTCATGTTATTTGTGGTGTCTCTCCTCTTTTGAATCTGAGATTGTACACTCATAAAGCTATCACTAGTGGAATGAAATCACTTTGCAGAAGTAGTAGCCAATGTTGCCAGCTTTCTAAAACTGCACGTGCCTGGGGAAAGTTTTCAGAACCATACTGCAGAAATGGTGTAATTGGGATGAGATCTTGCAACTGAGTAACCGTGACATCATACAGTTTCTTTGTTCCATCACAGACTACAAGGCTGCAAGAAGGGGATTTAAACTGAGAGCGTGGGGAGCAGTATGCAAAAAGCATTCAGGATTCCAGAGTACGGTCCCACTTGAAAGGCAGTATGCTCCCAGGCTCAAGAACCCTTTTTTTCTTTTCTTTTCCTTTTTTTTTTTTTTTTAAATATATTACGGGCTTTCAATGACACTCAAGTTATTTCTGACCACACAGTCTAATGAGCCATAATAATAGTAAAGTTATAGTATTATGCTTGTCTGCCTATGGAGAGGTCTCACCATCCACATATCTGGTGCAGCAGGAATTATTAAAGAAGCTGCTGCCTGAGCATTCACACACCATTCATGGTGTCGCACACACACACTTATTCCTGGGCCCGATTCCTCCTTCTTTAGGCTTGATCCTAGGTTTCCCACAGCAGTCTCATGCATAGGACTTTATAAAGTAATTTATTGAATAGGAAGGTACAGCAGCAAGAACAGCTCAGGGTGGAGGCCTCCAAAGAGAGGGACCCTGAGCAGAGAAATCCCTGGGCAATTATACCCCGGCGATCCATACACCCGCCCCTCATGTGCTGTCCACGCGTCTTTTAGTCCAATGGTGATTTTTGGTCTGGGGTTTTCTAACATCTAATTGGATTCTTTTTCTGTGTCCAGGCAGGCAGTCCAGGCGTCTTGTTGATTTGCAGTTTACGTCAGGGGTTGGGGCCTCTGTATCATCTGGTTCCTGTTCCTTGTGCACCTGTTCTTGTTGGCAGAACATGATGAACTGAAAAGCCCTGGACTTGAGAGAAACACTACCAGAACATCAGTATGATATCCAGTACTTTCCCATGCTAAAAGATTAAACAACACTGTGCCATCTGCTAGGAAAAGCACTAAGAATATCTGTTTTCTCATGGCCTAAAGGTTTCAGCACACCTAGCTACTCATGCTAAGTAGAGCTAAGCCAGCAGCACAGATCACAACAAATTATAATCCTAAGTAATTTATTCGGCTTAAAATGTACTTATGCTGAACAATTAACATCCCTCAGCTGAAGGAACTGTAAAACATGGGCAGGCCTGTTTTTCTTGTCGATACAGCCGCACACTGCCTCGGTAAAAGAGGGAACCAACTCAGGGTTTCTGCAGGAGGAGAAGTATTTATTATAAATCCCTTTTCCAGAATCACAGAATAATCATGGTTGGAAGGGACCTTTGAGATCATTGAGTCCAACCTTAAAAAAAAACCAAACAAGAACCCCAAAAAACTCCCAACAACAAACAAACAAACAAACAAAAAAACCCCACACCCCACCCACCCACAGACAGACACGAACCAACAATCTTGGGCATTAGAGCATGCCCTGAAGTGCCATGTCTACGTGTTTCTTAAATACCTCCAGGGATGGCAACTCCACCACCTCCCTGGGCCGGCTGTTCCAGTGCCTGACCACTCTCTCAGTAAGGTAATTCTTCCTAATATCTAATCTAAACCTCCCCTGCTGCAACTTTAGACCATTTCCTCTGGTCCTGTCATTATTCACTTGGGAGAAGAGGCCAACACTCACCTCTCTACAACCTCCTTTCAGGTAGTTGTAGAGGGCAATGAGGTCTCCCCTCAGCGTCCTCCAGACTATACATGCCCAGTTCCCTCAGCCTCTCCTCGTATGACTTGTTCTCCAGACCCCTCCCCAGCTTGGTGGCTCTCCTCTGGACACACTCCAGCAACTCAATGTCCTTCCTGTAGTGAGGGGCCCAGAACTGAACACAGCACTGGAGGTGAGGCCTCACCAGTGCCCAGTCCAGAGGCACCATCACTGCCCTACTCCTGCTGGCCACGCTGTTCCTGATACAGGCCAGGATGCTGTTGGCCTTCGTGGCCACCTGGGCACACGGCTGGCTCACGTTGAGCTGGCTGTCCACCATCACCCCCAGGTCCCTTTCTGCCAGGTGGTTCTCCAGCCACTCTGCCCCCAGCCCGCAGTGCTGCAGGGGGTTGTTGTGACCAAAATGCAGGACCTGGCACTTGGCCTTATTGAACCTCATACCACCGGCCTTGGCCCATCGATCAAACATGTGACCCAACCTTCTGACCCAGAAGCCTCCGGGTCGTTTATAAACAAGGTATTTCTACAGGAGGAAAGGGCCGGGAGGAGCAGACCCTTCCTCGCCCTGAGGGCTGGAGGGCACAGCGCCTCGCAGGGAAGCGCTTTGGACTCGGCGCTCCCGAAACTCGCTCTCTGGTGTCTAACACAGCCGGTGGGCCCGGGGGATCGGGCAGCAGGGCGGCGAGGGGCCCAGGGGCAGCGGGGTAACGGGGACACACACCACCCGTAGTCCCCGGCCGGGGCGCGCGCCCCTCGCTACGACCCGGCGCTTCCGGAGCCGCTGCCGCCGCCCCGATCCTCCGCGCCGCAGGGGGCGCTGTTCGCCCCGCGCCGCTCTTCTCACGGGGCGCCGCCGCATCCTCTCTATCGACACGCGGTAAGGAAGTCGGCGGCGGCAGTGCCGCATAAGGCCACGCCCCCC